TTCTTAGAGTATTTAAAATACGGCAGAATAAACCTAAAAAATTCAACAGTTACATGAAAATACATTCAGTGTAGAAGAGAAAGCAGAAGAAGCAGACCCTGGGCTGTAGCAGTGCTCTTTGTACACGGTCACATGCCCCACACCCACACACTCCCATTAACCACGACATGAAGACAACCCTTATCACCGACTGCAGCTTTTATGGCTTGCAGGCTCCACCAGCAGCCAAGTGGTGTCCAGTTCTCAAGGAATTCCTCAGCTTTGCAGATAATTAATGATTTCAGTCACGCACACTTAGATATGAAGTTCACAAACCCACAAGGTTTTCCTGGTTTGTTCAGCCCATTGATCACCCTGCAGTACTGAGAGCCCAGGATTGCCACCTTCCCCTGGGCCTGGATGCAGGGGGAGGGCTGTTTCCACAGCCTCACTGATCCCAGTATTTAAGTTAGGTTACCAAGCTTGTTTATCAGATAACAACTGTTAATATTTGATATTAACCACAATCTTTGGTAAGTCTCAGCATATGGAAGTCAAGGGACTTGCCCAGTTTCTCCGTCAGAGCTGGAGCCCCACTGCCTGAGGTGTCTGCACCAACACCCACCTGGCACTCGGGACCTCCCCAGCTCAAACAAAAGCCAGGATGGCAAGCGATGCAGGGTGAGGAGGATCGTTCCATCTCCCTAGGATGGCAAGTACTGTCAAAATTCATGAGAACCCACAGGAAGCCAACAGCATTCTGACCTACAGGAGTACCAGTGGGTCTAAAAACAAGGCTATAGAATAAGGGGAACCAGAGTTGCATTTGCTGTGACAATACCTGTGGCTGTCACCAGAAATCAGTCACCTGCCAGTAAATGAAAACACAGCACTCCCATCCTTTGGAATGTGCAGGGGCTCCTGGAACTCATTTGGGCACCCTGTGGACACATCAGAGGACAGATAAGCCCTGCAGCCACCTGCAGCAGTGCATTAGCAGGGTGAAAACAGCAAAAAACGTTGGGAAGAGTTTCATGGGCCAGGCCAGGGATACCTGAAGTACAGCTTTCCAGTGGGCAGCATCATCCCTCCTCTCCCCTCCTCCACAGGCATAAGCAGAGGACTTCAATCCCCACAAATGTCAGGAGTCCAGCAGGTAATGGCCCTGACTGCAGGACATTCATGCTCAATTCTATTTCCAAAACAGGCTCCATTTCAGCTTCAAAGCATGGCAGGAGGCCAGGAGAAAGCCACAGGATCATGCAGGTTTCAAGGAAAGGAGGCTGTAGATGGCAACTCTGTTATCTCTGTGCTCTCACCTCCCTTAAAACAGAAATAGTCCTCCCTGATAACTGCACACCCCTCAAGTCCCACCCTCTGGCTCTCCTCTTTCCCAGCCTCACTTGGACTAAGGCAGATTTCTTCTAATATTCAGCTCTGCAAGACCTATTTTACATCAACGATTTCCTATTATTTTACATGAGTTTCTGCATTATTTATTAGTTTTAAATGTATTGTTATGTAATCACATCAAACGTACTCAGGCAATGAAGATGAAGGTATGATAATGAAAGAACAACGTGCAATTTAACATCAACCCTTCTTCTGAAGCTGTTAGTGGTTATCCTTTATTTTTAGCAACCACATTTAACTCTTCATCCTCTTCTGATCAAAACATGACACCAGGGCTACGACCAACTCCACTCTCCCTATTTTTGTAAGATCTTTTTCTGTACTGCAGTGCCCAGGACAAGACTCAACATTCAGCATGAGACCGTGCTATTTATCTAAGGCTTGTTCTTAACTCCTTTTCCACAATGCAGGATAATTTTGGATCATTACAGAAAATGGGATTTAGGCGTGAAATACCTCAATTAACTGTTTTTCGCTTTTACTGCCTTTTTTCTTTTTTTTTTTCCAGCAGGCACTGCTAACATTGGCATGCCTTGCTGTTGTCATGGCAATGAAAGCAGTCTATATGGCTTTGGATGTGACTCAGAAATCATTTTATACAGAAATGGGACAACAATTAGAATAATGGACACTGGGTATTCCTGTGCCACCACTTAATAAATGCTCAACAGGATCAGAACAAAAGGGACTGAACAAAAGGCCCTTGATTGGACACGAGACACCAAATTGTTACTTGTGACCCTATCTTGCAGTTAGGGCTGTGTGGGCAAAGCTTTGTCACTCCTGAGGTTTATTAAGATTACAGTGACCCGCCTGGGCACTTCTTAACCAGCCCAGGACCAGATCTGCCCAGGTAAGTGCTGCTCTCAGAAATACCTGAGGAGTTTTGTATTGCAGACTCAGCCCAGTAAAAATCGGGATTTCAATTGTCTTGAAATGCTCCTGTCTCTCTCTGTGAGGGCTCATTCCAAGGCAGGGCTCTTCTCACGGCCAGTGAGTCCACAAAAGAGAAAGATTTTGGAGAAGCAAGTTTGCCAATTAAGAGATGAGGAAAGGAGCTGTGTCAGTCCCTGATCAGGTGGGGAGGAGGAGGAGGCAGTGGCAAACACCACCAAAGCCAGCCCACACCAACCTAGGAAGTGTCTGGAAAAATTATTTTGAGCCGGGCTATAAATACCATTCACCTCTGTCTGCTGCATCTTACTCATCACAACACTCCTCTTCTCCTGGGGATCCATGGTATGTGAGGGAAGCTGCTATTGCAGAGATGCCAAGTGTGGAGGCACTGAAATACATGGATCTGTGTCAGTCCTGAATTTCATCTTCCTACCCCTGTTCTGCCGGGCCAGTTCTCTTTAACTGGCTGGTAACATTTCCCAGCTATTTTACTCCAGAGAACAAACGGGAAAGGCACATGGGAAACAGGAGGGGTTTGCACTGGAGGACAGTGAATGAGAATACGCAGGGGAAAATAAAAGGATTATGTGTAAACAACTCAGTAACAGCTAAATTCACACACAAGGCTAGTTGCAAACTAATCTGTGCATGGGTATGAAACACTTTGGGCACGTGGAGCAAGCAGGTTATCAGAACTTCGAAAGGAATGGTAATTCTCCTTAACTCAGTGTGGCAGCATCCAGAGCACAGCCAAAGTGCAGCTAAAATATTTTACGTCACAGCAATAGCTGCGTGCACAAAGATAAGTAATAACTGCACGCATAAAGGTACTGCAGAGAGGGAAACAACAAATGAAAATGGCCCGTGGTCAAAGTCCCAAGCACAGGATTGCCACTCCCCAGCTCTGCCCTTAGCAGGTGTTCAAAACACCTTCAGGGCCTTAGCACAGAGGTTTGGTGCTCTGCTTTCCTTTAAAAACCCCTGCTGTGCAACGCAGGAAGCGGGGACACGCTACAATTCCTTTATCCCACGGGAAGAGTCCCTGTCCCAGCTGTTCCCCCTTCCTCTAGCTTTTCCTACTCCCTGAGAAAGCCCTTGGGACGGGAGCAGGTGAAAGGCAGCAGGGAGCTGTGCCATCCCCCGTGTGTCCCTGCAGGGGCAGGGAGGTGCACACAGACCCAGGCTGGCTGTCCCTGCGCATCCCACGTGGAGGGGTCACCTGCCGCCCTGGCCCTGGAGCAGCAGCAGCAGCAGCAAACAGAAGGTCGGTGCTGGCAGGACACAGGGGCTGTCCCTGCCAAACCCAGCACGCAGGAGATGTGTGATTGTACACACAGCCCAGAGCAGGCCCTCCCAGCTGCCTCAAAAAGCGGCACCCACAGCGTTTCCAGGTTAATGTGTACGAGGAGTTGCATCACATGAAACCGGGCTCGGGAGCAAAATAACACCTGAGCTGTTTCCAGCAAGCGCCAGTGTCCTGGTTTGTTCCAATGGAATCCAAGAGAGGTGACAAATTAGTGGAAGAAAGATCAAAGTTTGTGCAGCCATCAGCACAGCGCTGACCCAGTGTCCGTGTCCTTAAGGAGAAAAGACACAGAACAATTTATCCAGAGGGCTTCCATTTTTCTCACTGAGTCCTCTTCCCATTTATTCCTCTCTGAAACAGGCACAAGCCCCTAGTTAGATGTAGAACTTGCTTTCTAATTCCTCTAATCCTTTTGCACAAATGCAAAATATTACTATCCTTCAGCACAACTGCTCCATGCACGACCCTGTACGTGGTGTCTTTCAGCAAGAGGCATTTAATTCTTAACGCAGAGCACATAATTAATGTTATGAAAGTCGTTAATAAATACTAAATCTGGGAAAAGAAGCATTCTATAGTTGTGATTGTTTAGTTTTTCTTTGCAGAATACAAATGCAAAAAAAAAAACCAGTAAAAGCTGTTGTCCAGACTTAAAACATTCAGAGGCCACGATTACACACAGTCCTCAGGTGATTGTGCCCCATGAAGCCTGAAGGCCTAAAAGATACTGCAGCATATTCTAAACCACTGTTTGGCACTCTTAAGAAGAATTACATTTTCCATTTTATCTACATAATTCCTTGGATAAAAAAATTATTTTTTTCCAAAACAATCTTCTTAGGCAAAAAAAAACCCCACAACTCTATTTCTGTCTGAGAATTCCTCTTTCTGAGCTTGAGCTACAAAAGCAATTCATTTTTCTCTGAGTTTATCATCTTTTAAAACTCTGGCATTATGTCACTCCATTCCACCAATTCACTATTTTCCCCCCTCTTTTCCTATTAGTTATTCCTCACGTCCCCTCACTGCTGTTTTTTTTAACTGACTTTTCTTTGGCTTCTGTCAGTTCATTGATATTTTTCTAGTCTTTAGCAGGAAGTGAATATTCTAACTGTTGTCTGCAAGCTGTACAATGAGGAATTATCCTTCTGCTTTCACGAATCAATGACCACTCTGTAAGGCCAAAAGCAGTTTTTCTCTTCCCATTGTTTCCCCACTTCCTCTCACCCCGTTTGTTCTTGCACTCAGTTTTGTTTTGTTTTTTCCAGCCAGCACCACAACACAAATAATACCCTCCCACACCTTCCACTTCGAGATCTCACGCTACTTTTCAAAAGGAATCCCCTTTCCCTGCCATGGGGAGAACACAAGACACAAACAGCAGAGTTACCTCCCCCCAGGGCGCGCAGCACGGGTTGTGTTCCAGCTCAGCCCGTTCCCTCATGTTCTCCTGGTCCAAGGAAAGCCCTGCTCGGACTGGCCTGTTCAGACACAGGTGGGTAAAGTTCAAGCATTGCTTTTTCCTGTCCCACTTCACTTCTTGGGCCGCTTCCACCACAACACGTCACTGCCACTGGGCCAAGGACGGGTCCCCTCCCGAGGGAGAAAAAAGGTCCCTTCCAAAACTGATATGGGAGAGAAACCTCTCTCTGGGAGCCCTGGCAACATCCTCAGTCAGAGAGGTGAAAATCTGAGCCTGGGCACACCAACCAGCTTTTCCAGAGCTGCTGTGGAGTCTCAGAAAGCTGAGTCCACTCTCCACACCAGCAGAGTTTAACCCCACAGGTGCTGCCCACACGTGTCTGGGTGGGGACGTGTCCTGAGGTCCTGGACTTGCCAAAGTCACAGAGACACCAACACCCATTTCCTCTTTGCTGGAGGTGATCGAGCCCTAACTCACCCAGATAAGAGATGAGCTAAAAACACCAATAAACCTTTCAGCCAATTAACAAGGTGGTAAAAGACCAGTCCAGCTCTGCTGGTTGGTGGGTGACTGTGGCCCTCCCAGCCTGTCTGTGCTGGTAAATCCATTGCCGGGGGACAGAGGCACACATTTCCATCTCCTGGGTTTGCACCGCTGGTTACAGGCACATGGCTCTTTGTAACTTCACTTACCAACAACACTCACCCCCCCAAAAAACCCACCAAAGCCCCACTCAGCCCTAGAATCAGACACTGCACAGGAAGGGCTGCAAAGGGCACCCTGTTCAACCAACAGAACACCCATCAACGCCTCCTGGGGGTGCTTGCATGGTCAGCAGGGCGTGGAAGTTATCCCTGCCTGAACCTCAGGGACACCATTCCTGTAGCTGGAATGTTATCAAACTGCTAAAAAACAAAAACTCTGTGCATAAAGCAACTCACAGGAACATGGAATGTGATTATTTTTTTTGTGGGTTGATTTTGTTGTTGGTGGTTTTTTGTTTGGTTGTGTTTTTTTTTTCAAAGTCCAAGAACTCACAAAAAAAAAAACCCAAACTCCTCTCAACCCGTTTTCTGAGAATATTCAGTATAACTTTCCACAAAGTGACATTTCCCTAGAAAATGTCCCTCTTAAAGCTGTAGTTCCTCTGCTGTTCCAACAGCACAACAAAACACTTGGAAGCTGGAGTTGCCCATAAGCTCCATCCCCTGGAGATATGGTTGGGAGTTTTCCAGCCCTCCCTCTGGAGAAATGTTTGGGAGTTTTCCAGCCCTCCCCCTGGAGAACTCTGCTCTGGCACCAGTTTTCATTCCCACTCAGACTGGAACAGCCCAGCGCTGCAGACTCAAAGTGCACTTTTAGCTGAACAATTTTTATATAACAAATACAACAGAAATATTCACAAAATAACAGCTGTGAAATCGTACCAGAGGAAGGCAGTCTGCAGTAAACTCACCCAAACCTCAAATCTACCTATTTCAGAGCCCTGAACACCATTCCCTTGGGACACACAAGGGAACACAAGACACTCCCCAGAATATTTTTTAATAAATTCTCCTCCTTTTAAATTCTCCGTGTTTCGAATTTCTCTCTCTCACGTCTCTACTTCTGAAATACTTTAATTAAAATGAATATTCGAGAAACCTCGCCAGTTGTTGGTTTCTGGGTGCCAAGCAAAGGGCAGCCTCTAATTGCTGCGAACAGTTTGGTTCAGTGTGTTAAGTTAAGCACAGAATGTATTTTACACCGTGCAGCCCCCTCCAAACTTCAGTAAGGAAGGATTATTACAGATAGAAATTTACCTCCTGAGCCTGCAAGGAGCTCCAGCATTGCCCACCTGCCCAGGATATAATTTAATAAGGTCTTATGGCAATGCTGGATCTCACCCCACTTTTTTTTTTTTTTTTTCCTTAAAAAAAATAGACTAAAGCTACAGAGTAGCTGCGACAGTTGAATAAACATCCTTTAATGTTAATTGATAAACAACCATAACGTGTTGTCATTTATCCATGGAAAGGCTGATGGGGGAGCACAAATATTAAACAGCTACATTTAGTGTTGTATTTATATGGGTTTGTTTGGGTTTTTTTTAAACTAATGAGCTCTGTGTTCATTAAAAATGTCGTTTAACACTTTCCCAGCTTAGTAGTGAGGGGCTGGTTTTGCCACAGCTTGGATGTGCAGGGTAAGTGGGAATGACAGAGGACAATGACCCATGAAGTGCATGGAAGAATCCATAACCTCCAGTTAAGCTAAACGGGTTCAGTGAAGTGGGAAATATCCCAAATCACCTTTTTCCTGTTAAAGGAATCAGCTAAAAGGGCAATGTCATGTGTTGAAACGATGTTGTGACTCAGCAGATTTGGTCAGGCTTTTTACAAAGGCATCCTGCGCTGGGTGACTTCATCTTATTACCCTGAAGATTTATCTTATTTTTAAAAACATATCCCTCTCTATGCTGCAGATCAGCAATCACAGATATTGGGCAGTTTCCAGCTCGGAGAAAACAAAAGAAACGCAATAATATAGTTCTGATTAAAGATTTTCTTCCGCCACATACTTAAATAATCAGCCAGAATGACTGGAAAAGAAACATGAAAAGCACAGGGAAAAAAAAAAAAAAAAAAAAAAACACCAAGGAGCCAAGTGCAAGCTGTGGAACCAAACCCCCCCATGTGACACCACAGTGCCAGAGTGGCTGTTGTCAGCACAGTGACCTGGCAGTGGCAGTGGCCATCTCTTTCTGGTGCTCTGGGGTGTCACAGAAGCAACAATTCCTGCTGTGTTAGGAGGTACCAGGATGTGGTACCTGGACACTGCCCCGGGACACCCACTGCCACCTCCTACACCTCCACCAACGTTTATTGCCCCACCATTCCCCACAGTGACCCTTCCCCACCTCTCCCAGCTCCTCCTCAGTCAGTGCCCTGTTCCCCTCAGCCACAGTCCCTTCTCCCCTCTCTGTTTGCCCACCTGTCTGTCTCCTGCCCTGGCACGTGGCCCAGCCCCTGCCCTGCCAAATGCCCTTTATTCCACTTGGCCTCTGCTCAGAGCACACACACCAGCACCGGCCTGGCCTGGGGGACACCTCCTGTTTGGGCCTGGCACGGAGGAACTCCAGTGGAACACCGTGATCCAGCTGCTCCAGAGGGCAACCTGTCCCAGTTTAGTGCTGGTTCTTGCTCACCTCGAGCAGAGAGAGGCTCCAGCATCGACTGGGGTGCAACAGAGACCGTGGCAAAGCACAGGGGGAGTTAGTTTGGCTTGTCATTTTGTCTGCAGCATTTTCAGTGCCTCCTTTCTGCCTTGCCCACCACGAGCCTTCTGTGGGATGTATAACCATGCACAACAGAGGACAAGCTGTTTTAACACTTGGAGGGAGATGTCACTCCAAGAAATGTCCTGGGCTCCATCTTCTGTAAGAGGTGCCTTAAGAAACGTGCACCAAAGGAATTAAAATCAAAACTGGTGTCACACTTTCATGCAGCAGTTGAACAAAGCAAAACAAATCAGCATTATTGCTCAAGTGCTGCTGGAAGGATGATTTTTAAAGTTCATGACTGAAGAGTAGGGGAAAAAAAATTAGTTATTTACCCTGGCCAGAGTTTAGAAGTGATGCAACATTCATGACCCAATTAAACCAAAAGCAGCAAGGCAGGTAAATCAATAAGGACAACCCTCCCAGTTTTGTTTGCACACTTCATACCAGGGTGTCCTCCTTGAAACAAAAGCTGAAATGCTACTGTGGAAACTGGGAATCAGCACTCCAGGAAGGTCACTCAGAA